TTCTTCAGCAAATTGGGTAGACCATGAAGCGAAATTCTATTTTTTTAAAACCCAGAATATGTACACTGTATGTAAAATCCAATACATAGACAGACCTCGGTACTCAAATCCTCAAAAAAGTACGAAACACGTTTTTGACGTACTGGTTGGCAGCTATGTACAAGCACTCCACTGTCACTGTCTTCTGCTCTCTGTACAACAAACGCTCAGAGACAGAGAGACAGCGGCAGCTCAAGTGAAAAGACCAAGGGTGGGAGGGAAAAGTCACAAGTTCAATTTGAATACAAGAGAAGTAGTAATGATATCAGTAATATTGATGTCAGTAATAATAATGTCAGTAATGATGCCACATGCAAAGACTCCGAAGAAGCAGCTCCTTACATCCAGAATGTTAGTGGAAAGAAAGCTCCAAATGCTCACAGCACTGGTCTCAGAAAGAAGCGTAACACAAGTCAATACATTTCTGGCTCATGCATTACGAAGCAGTAAAGACAAAAAAGTTTAAAAATAAAATAAAAATGGACAGATGGAGCTCAAACGAGTTTCTAAAAGAATTACAAATTTGAGCCCGCCCACAATTTCTCGTCTACATCTTTTACATCTTTGTGATTGTGAATGTCCAAGACCTCATTCCACACGACTGAATGCTAGATCTGACGATTGAATGCTAGCTCTGACATATCTGAGCGTTAGATCTGACGACTAAATGCTAGATCTGATATATCTGAGCATTAGATCTGACGACTGAATGCTAGATCTGACGTCTGAGTGCTAGATCTGATGTCGGAGTGCTAGATCTGACGTCGGAGTGCTAGCTCTGACATATCTGAGCGTTAGATCTGACGACTGAATGCTAGATCTGACGACTGAATGCTAGCTCTGACATATCTGAGCGTTAGATCTGACGACTAAATGCTAGATCTGACATATCTGAGCGTTAGATCTGACGACTGAATGCTAGATCTGACGACTGAATGCTAGCTCTGACATATCTGAGCGTTAGATCTGACGACTAAATGCTAGATCTGACATATCTGAGCGTTAGATCTGACGACTGAATGCTAGATCTGACATATCTGAGCATTAGATCTGACGACTGAATGCTAGATCTGACATATCTGAGCGTTAGAGAGCAGACGCACAAACAACATCTCAAACTGGCAGGAATTATTTCAGGAGAGCAGATAAGCAAGCCCACACTTGCAGACACAGCTCAAGGAAATATTGCACGCATAATGTCGGAAAAAGTTTTTGGGTTTTTGTTTTTTTCCAGCGACAAAGCCTTCG